TCGAGCGGCAGTTTGATTTGCCCAAATGAAAGGAGGACTTTTTGATTGCGAATAAAGAGAGAGAGAGAGAGAGAGTAGAAAAGCGTTTTTATGACAGCGAGAGAGAAATAGAGATAGCGAGAGAAATTGGAGTGGGAAAGAGAAATCAACAGTGGAAAGCCTTAATCGAGAAAGGATGCCAGAATATGGTGAAGAAAGTGAAATATGCGAGAGCAAGTGGCTGCAAATCCGAGCGATTCTGCAAGCAAGGTTTCGAGTAAATGTGAATAAAGAGAGGAACAGCAGCCAAACTGGGAACGCCCGGCTCCAGTATTTTCGACAGCCTTTTCTGAAAGCTAAAATATGCTTACTCATTAGTAGTGAGTGGGCGAAATCGCAGGGAACAAATCGTCTCAGCATCTCAACTTATGGCTTGGTCACTGCTTTTAATCGGTTAATAGTCTGTCAGTTGATGTGTTAAAGCAAATATTTCAATAAAACTGAGTATAGTACTAGACAACTTCGGAGGGTTGTGTTAAAGGATCGGGAAGGTGAAAAGGAATGCGACAGGGAGAAGGAGTAGAAAAATTCAGGCAATCTTATTGGCCACTAATTAGTGACCGTTGCAGAAATTAAACTGCAAAGAACACATACTACTGATGATCTTAGCTCAGAGAGTAGTGAAGCGATGAGAACCAATTACCGCCAACCAGATGCCACCAAAATGCCGTCTCCACAACTGCCCATCCAATCTGACTCGGCACACATTTCACATACCAAGTCGATACAAGCCGGCATTTGCTAAAGTGTCTCTATTTTTCACTCATTTTCTCTCTTAAATTAACACTAAAGCAACATTTTCCTCCAGATATCGCTATGTGTTCATCTTCATTTTTATTATCATCCATACTACTCACATAATGGTACAAGTAGATAGTCGTCAATTAATCCAAATTGTGAAGTTGACTCGAAAGGAATATTTGCACAACACACATGCAGCCACCACCAACAGTGCCACCAGCGTCACCAGCGTCACCAGCGTCACCAGCGTCACCAGCCCTAGCAGCCCCACCAGCAGCACCAGCGCGAACAACACCGGAAGCCGAGGGGGGAAAGCATGTTACCACTTGCGAGTGGCAATTATTTGCAACTCCGATTCAGGCAGCGCTGTCTGCTCGTGTCTGACGAGAAAACCTGATTCAGAAAAGATTAGCGAAACAATTCCATGTCCGGATTGTCCTTCTTCTTGCAATAATGCCATAACCAATGTTCACAAATGAATGTTCCTGGCTTGTGAATCGTGTTCATGACAAACATTTCACCATTTCAAATTATTCACAATATGCTGAAAGGATTAACTTTGAATTGATAATATACACTTGATGTATTGAAAGACTATCATTTCTTACCTTTTCTCTTCTTTACTTCTGCTCGCTTCTTCTCTTCGCTTCCCTTTTGTCTGTTCGCTTCTCTCCTCTCCTTTCCTCTTCAGAAGGAAAGAGAAACTATGAATAGAGAAAAGACACGAGACTAATCAAGCCTCCCTCCATTGATCACTGATCTTTTCCTTTCCATAAGTCCATACAACATCCACACTCAGTTCATACTCACTTTTCTACACTCGTTCCTGCTATCCACCACGTTGGCTATTTTCTTACTTTCTGTAGACTCCCTCCCTCCCTCCCTAACTTACTTGCCTCTTCTCGCTACCACCAAAAAAGACAATTCATTTTCCTTTTCTAACTTCAATCCAAACTTAGTGTTTGCATCTTTTCTATTTGTTGCCTGAAAACAATTGCCTCAAACTACTTTTGTCGTGTTGCCAAGCAGCAAAGTAATCGT